CGTTCTACGTGAACTATCCTGAACCAATGTGACTAAAGCAGAGCTGAGTCTGAAGACTAGGCTCTAGGTGTTCATGTCGATCTTCATCTCCATGCCTACCTACGCTCAGGAGTCTTCCGTCATGAGAGAAATTTCGAGGTGGCTTTCAGTAACGGATCGCTGGCCTCAGAATTCTCGACATGGTCCGGCGTACGGATATCGCACAGAGACTTTATGTTCAGCTGCTGCTTCTTCTGACTGAGAAATCAAAGGTGCAATGGTTTGGGCACGTGTTGCGAATGCCTGGAAGGAAGGAAGGCGAATCAACTACTTCTGTCTCAACCGACAGACAAAAGGCCCAGGGAACGATCAATACTGGCCTGGTGCAAACATACTGACTGAGTCTTCTCTCAACTCCGGTTGTGTTCTGATGAAGCTCAAATGATGACAAACGTTGGAAGGCTGAATTAATGCAACTGCCTCCGCGACCCGAAAGGAGAAACGGCAATGAAAATCTATTGATTGACTTATCTAGTGTCAAGAGATTTTCTTCGAATATGTAACGGGAGGGTTTTTAAGAGAACAGATAAGAATTATGTTGTGACAGTCTTCATATCTGCAATCGTCTACTAACCTGCTAACCACTTCTCGCTGACGTCGGAACATTTTTAAAATCATTGTACATCAGTTGATTCAACATCCAAATGTTCCACGCAGTTCTGCACGGTCTTCTTATGCCATGCGGTCGTCATAACTGCATCAAACAAGATTTAACCTTCATATCATTGAAAAGTGACCGTAAGGGTTCGACTAAAGGAGGATGTAGAACAGAATAGCGTCGCCGACCGAATCACTTCACATTAGTTTATCGGTGGAAAGGAAATTTTTAGTGCTGATTAAATTTTCAAAGCAGAAACACTAGTCGCATTGAACTTCAAGAATGTGGAAGGCGTCTGTGACTTTTGAGCATTCAAACGAACGCAGATTAGTGCGGCAGTTACAACATGACAATGAAATCACCTTAGAGACTTTGGATGAAGCTAAAGTTCGCTTCTGCTGAATATCGTATAGCGCAATGCCCTCAGACGTTTTCAATAGCAGCAGGCCAGTGCCAGCGGCGAAAATGTCTTCACACGAAGGCAGATCGATCTTTTTCGTAACTTCGTTCTTTAGATTCTTGATCAGTATACTGTGAAAACGGTCAAGGACAGCAAACCTGCAAAGCATAGTCAGTCATAAGGAGCGAAAAACGATGAGGTGAGGCTGACACATAACAACCAGCTTTATGAAGGTGCAGCCAATACATTACACGATGGCCGGCAAAGCCTTTTAAAAGCGTACCTATTCCTCGCCACCCACACAGCCGACAAGCCATGACTCCTTTTGGCGTCGGGCATGTCTGGATTCTGACTGTCGACTGCAGCTGGCAACGTGTAAAGGTCGTAGGTGCTGTTCTCCAATGCGTGATTCACCCGATTCACAATGAGCACCGCGTTTTCGGCCGGATTATAGCATAACGAATAATATGGATACTGCTGCTTTCCCCTGATCTGAATAACGGCAACATCCTTATTACTGGAGAAGTCGAGCCGCCGCAGCATACGATCCTAAAATGTCAGCATCGTTCGAAAACCGCTGTCAAACGTTCTTACAGACACGAACACAAACCTTGATGTAGTACAGGAAATTCTGGCTGACCGCGTATGCCGGTCTTTCGCGCTCGATCTTGAAAACGATCATGCCGCCATCGTGGCCGGCCGCGAACAGTGTCAAAATCGGGTGCGCGGTGAGCACCCAAAATCGGTCGTGATCTTGTCTAAAATTATGGACGCAAGTCCTCTTTTGAAGGTCCCAAACGCGGATCGTTTTGTCTTCTGAATCGGACAAGATGAAATCCGCGCGAGGATGGAATAGGACGCAAGACACGTTATTGAAATGTCCGCGACAGCTGTCAACCTTTAAGTGAAATTCATACAATATTAGAAAACAAGAACAAGCGGGTTATGTTCATATATCCGCACCTCCCATGCCTTTGAATCGTTGTATCTCCACAGTTTCACCTGACGGTCATCCGCTGCTGAAACAATCAGTGGCATTGTTGGGTGAAAAGCCACCCAGTTTACACCACGATCATGGCCTTCCAACACGTGTTTGACCACAGCGTCCGGCTGACTGAACAACTCAGTCTGGGCGGTACTGCGAACAATGCGATCTTCGATGCCGGTACCGGGCACAACGTTCTTTTTTCTTAACCCGGATATATCCCAGAGACGGATTGTCTGATCCAACGACGC